GGTCAAAGTGCAGGCAACAATGTGAACGACTTTGCCAAATCATGGCAGGTAGCAGGTGGTAGCTGCAGTGGCCAGGTACCAGTAGCACCAACACATCCATGCGAAAAGAACCCTCATCGCCGTCAAATAGCTGAAAAAGACTGTGCTGTTATCCTTTCCAACCAYTTTAAATTCTGCAAAGATGCTGGTGTAGATGTGGACTATCTTTACCGTAACTGYCTGTAYGATGTGTGTGCAGAGAAAACAGTTAGTATGAAGGACAGCAGCTGTGATGCTATCAAAGAGGCGTCATACGAATGCAAAGAAAAGACTGGSAAGACCGTGACCTGGGGACACCTTGAACAAAAGTGCAGTAAGTGAAGATAATGCTTTTGTCTGTACTAARTCCGTCTGTCCATCAGTATTTTATAAAACACTTTAGTGAGATTATCTGTCTTGGTTGCTGATGTTTTATTCATCATTATTATCGTTGTTATTCTCAGAGTGCCAGCGAGAGCTCCAGATGTATGACTCATATCAGCAACTAGTTACCAAGTGCTGTGTTTTCCCCTTTGTGAAAGATGGAGTCACACATTACGACTGTGTCAAATCGCCACAAGGTTCTTGGTGTTCAAGTGAGAAAGTTGCTACTGCTAGCTCTATTGGATATTGCATTGATAGCAATAGTCAGTACTGATGGTAAGTTCATAGAATTATAAGTAGTTATTCTGGTACTTTTGGTCGTAGTATATGATGTATAGTTACCAAGCTAATAGACACTCTTAAGCCCAAAACCCATAAAATGACTTTCTTTCTAGGAAACCTAAGATGTTTCACTTGGACTTTGTGACGTCATCACTCATGACGCATACTGTGACGTACTGTGATCTTGGACTTTTTGACGTCATCACTCATGACGTATACTTTGACGTACCTGCGATCTTGGACTTTGTGACGTCGTCACTCATGACGTAGCATATAGCTTTGCTTTTATCTTTTTCAACAATGTATTTCTAGTTAGGTATAGGAATAAAGGTAGTTTTGCTGTTTAAATGTTTTATATGCTTGCCAAATTAAATTAGCCGCCGTACCGTTTTCCTTGGAGAGATAATGTAGTCATCAAATCAGATTTGACGACGGAAATGAACCATGGGTAGGTAAGGAAGTATTAATTTTTACTCAATTATAGTCAGAAACACTGCTGTTTCTGATATACATCAATGTAACCATGGTTGCTTTGTGTTGTGTGATCTCAATTCAACATTTGCTATTTATCAATAGCTGCGCGTAACGTAGTACTCTTTGAAATTGATAAATTGAATTGATAAATCATTGCATCATTGTACATTTGCTCTGTCTATTTAACGATCGCTATTGTTGTCATCAGCATTAATATTCACCTTCCAACTCCTTTTTAAAAACTGCTTTTGTTTAYAACTATTAGCCTTYTTAATTAAGCTATACATTGAGAACAAACGGCCATAAACCTTGTTTGGATTCCAAGAAGAGTCTAGAACAAACACCCAGGTATTGAATATCATAATTAACATATTATTAATTTATCATTATCGATATATTATCACTATTAACTGTTCTTTTTATCATCATTATCATACGGAGTACAAAATGTTTTATCGTCAGTTAGAAGTATTATAACGATGTCTGCTTTCCTGTATGCTAAATAACGCTTTGATTGCTTTAAGGATCGAGTAAATCTCCCACGCGATAAAGATGCATCAATACCGCGCAGCTACCTTGGAATGTACACATTACATTAAAGGGCATAGAGAAAGCCTTCATAACATGACACGAGTACTCACTGTCGACCTTGCAGCATCTACAAGGTGAGTGGAGTAGGTTTAGGGTTTTTAGTGGAGAAAACTACTTTTTAAWGGTAAATTGARTCGCGGTATAAATATTTCTGATGTCTATTTCGATYTTGATTTCTCGTCTTGGTTTTAAATTGTTAAATTTTCAATGAACTTTTCGGGCAAACGTTTTTGAGACTARTATTGTGAGTGACTTTTGTTGGAGTCCAGGAGTGAGCAGTCGAATTTGACATGACGTCGTGATATCTCAATATTTAGTTTGATTGAATATTTCTATCTAGATATATAATTGAGCTAGTACTTACATGGGGCTAATAAGGATTTTAGATAATTTCTTCAACTTAATTGTTCTGGTAAAGCTCATTTTTTATCATTACCGATCAGGTCTTACCAACCGACCAACATTAATTGCATATTAGCATCTTTAACAATATATAGCGAACAAAGACTGGAAATTTGTATTGCGTATCCTGCGATAAATTATTTTATCTCATTTTTTTAGAGATGCATCTTTGAGTTGCTATGTAAGGACTTATGTTAAACATGCTTGCACGCCTGCTCAAGCTGATTTTCATACAATGGTATTCAAGCTTTTGGCATTTCGCAGCAACTACAAGTAGAATTTTTTTAACTGGCTCGATATAATTGAATTCTTTATTTGGAGGTTTAAATTTATCCGGCACAAAGTTTGCTTCTTATTGCCATGACAACCTGGAGGTAAAAAAGTGTTAAAAGCCTTTGACAAACAAAGACAATATAAGATGTATATACGAGAAAACAAAAATTTTATCAAAAAGAATCAATCCATGTTTATCAAGACGCAGAATTTATATCGTTAAAACCTTCAAAGTTTTTCCTTTCTTTAATAACACTAGAGTTTAGCGTCCATCTTGAAGACAAGAGCTTTAAAGATATTCTTATATCAACAGAGGTTTAGTTGTCGTTTTGTTGATTTGCATTGTAGAGATCTAGTTGTGTCAAATTGTCATAGATGCGCAAATAAGTACTCCTAACAAGGAATTTTGGATCAGTTGTATTCTTATCGTTTAGATTTACAGCAGGAATCGGATAACAGCAAGGTTTTTGGCTTTTTCCAGAAGACTTTAATATTTACTTAGGGCGCGGTCTCTATTAAGCTGTGTTGAATTGTTTGGGCATTAATTGTGCTGGAATGTCTGAAATAAAGAACAGCAGTCTCTCTAAACTATAGCAGCTACTTGAGTTCTGACTCTCGAGTATAGAGTTATTGCTATCATAACTAAAGTAAAGCGATAACTAAAGTAAAGCGATAAAAATGGATACAACAGAATTACAATCACCCAGTACACGAACTATGACGTAAATCGATGCCAGTAAATAAAACTGCCTGCTGTTTGTCTAACCTTTATGAATGGCTTTCAATTTGTAAAGTATAGAAATTGTTTTCTTAGGAGTTAGGAAAATGGGTGGTACGAGGGCGGGGAGCAAGCTCGTCAAGAGAACTTACTTCTAGCTTGAGTCGTGTGAAGTTTGTCTTAGTTGGAGATAATTTACACGTAAGATAATTCATCGCGGTTTCTACCAACTATCTTTTTTCAAACAAAGTTTACTGAGCAGAGTAAGAGATTGGTAAACGCTCGAATATGGCTGGAACTATTAGTCAAAGACTTGTCAGCCGAAAATTGTAGTGATTTGGACAACTAAAATTGAACAAAAATGAATGACGATCATTTTATGAAAAGAATCGGTGCAAAAGTTCTCTACTGTTATGAAATCATTTCCGCGTCATGAACCCACCGAGATCTTGGCATTCAATAAACTGACTTTTTCACTTTTCCAATAGGAAAATGTTGATGCCAATTTACTAAATCAATCTAAAACAATTTCATTTTACGCCCTTTAGAGACGCTGTAGATAAAGATGAAGTTCTTGTTTATTCTTCTTCTTCTCGTCCTTCCTGCCTTCTTAGAGGTAAAGATTCATTTGTTTGCCTGTTTGCTCAGTCCTTGTGTGTCTTTCTGTCAAAGCTTGAAAGTCATGTTAACATGTTTCTAGGCAACAGGCGAGAGTGACAAACGTGGATGGTGGGGWCGAAGAAATCGTAGGCCCAAAGCTAGACCCAAACCAAGACCAAGACCTCGGTATGGATACGGCGGTCAATCTGGTGAGTATGTTAATACATAAATGAACGATTGATCGACGTTTTTATTAAGTTAATGCATTATCATAGTGACGTGCTCTGCTTCTGGCGACCCTCACTACAAGACATTTGATGGTAAAAGATACAACTTTATGGGGGAATGCCGTTATATTCACACGACCGATCACTGTAAGGTTGACTGTGGTCGACCAAGGCTTGGTACGTTCAAAGTTATCGCTGAGAATTGTAACTGTGGTAGAAGGGTCAGTTGTGTCAAGTCGGCGGAAGTCGATATTAGAGGTAGGTTTTTATATTATTTTTACTTTTTACAACCAATGCATTTACTTCACTTCGCTACTTCGCACCCAGTGGTGCATAAGGTCTTAACAACTAACTCTTTTATAAACTTCATTTTTCCAAAATTTGCAGGTGATAAGATCTATCTCAGACGAGGAACATTTGCACCAGCAAACAAGGAGACTGTGCACTACTCGGTTCGAAGAGAGGGTAACTTTGTGGTAGTAMGAACCAAGCCTGCTGGTTTGACCGTGAARTGGGACAGGAACATGGGACTGCATATTTATCTAACATCAAAATACAAGGGGAAGGTATGTATATCTTCTTCTTCTTTTTCTTGAAAAATAAACTGATTTTTTCCATGCAACAGGTTTGTGGGTTATGTGGTAACTTTGATGGTAATCAATACAACGATTTCCTAAAAAGCAATGGCAAAAGCGCAGGAAACAATGTAAACGACTTTGCCAAGTCATGGCAGGCCGGTGGTAAATGTGGCCAGGCACCAATAACACCAACTCACCCATGCCAAAAAAACCCTCATCGCCGTCAAATAGCTGAAAAAGACTGTGCTGTTATCCTTTCCAACCAYTTTAAATTCTGCAAAGAYGCTGGCGTAGATGTGGACTATCTTTACCGTAACTGTCTGTACGATGTGTGTGCAGAGAAAGCAGTTAGTATGAAGGACAGCAGCTGTGATGCTATCAAAGAGGCGTCATACGAATGCAAAGATCAGACTGGGAAGACCGTGACCTGGGGACAYCTTGAACAAAAGTGCAGTAAGTAAAGATRACACTGTCGAMTTGGCTTGCTGATATTTTATTCACCATTATCATTTATTGTCAGAATGCCAGCGTGAGGTCCAATTGCAAGACTCCTATCAGACCAAATGCTGTGTTTTCCCATTTCAAAAAAATGGAGAATGGCATTATGACTGCGTTAAATCAGGACAAGGATCTTGGTGTTCAACCGAGAAAATTGCCACTGCTCATTCTATTGGACAGTGTGTTAACAGCTACGGTCAAAGATAAAGGTCAGCTCATCCTCTTTCCTCAATTAATCAMCCAGTTACTGATGTACATTTATTGTTTTGTACTTTTATTTCTAGATACGAAGTCAACGAGCTTGGTGACATCATACTAGACATTGTGACGTCATACTAGACWTTRTGACGTCATAYTAGACYTTATGWCGTCATTACGTTTTTRAGGTRTACTGTGACGTATGTATGYATTAAAAGKTGGTAATAGGTYTAATAAGCATTTCTCGTATAATTATAAAGATTGTACATTGAAGTGATATTAGAAATAAAGTCAGTTTCCATGTTTAATTTAGTGTGTGTTTTAGTTTAGCGTTCACTGATAGGATAGACCGGGGGATAGACTCTTGTTTATAAAAATTGTGACAATAGTGAACTTTGTATGATCAGTTTGTAAAGTTTATTCTATACCTACAAACAATTGATGTAGTTAATAAAAAATTCGCATAAACCAATTTATCAAACCATTCATTTGACGGATTCAGTCTCGAGGAAGCCGAATTCGCTGGCCATTTCTCAGCAGGATAAAATAACAAACCTAAACTTGCATTTTAATAACATCTTATATTTTGTATTTATTTTATTACTTTAGCCCTCAGATTATTTTTGAAAATTTCACGTCTTCAATAGGAAACCCTTCAGTTTAGGGTTATTCCAAAAAGAGCTGGTATCGCTCTAGCTACATTACTCATTTAATTCTGTCCCAGTTCTAGTTCTTTCTTTGCAAGGTTATCAATCTCAATTATGTGATAATGTTCTTTAGACAGTGACGAAGCTTACTGAAGCACCTACGCTTCTATGAACAAAGTGAAATGCTAAAAAAAATTGCTTGAATTAGAGACCAATGATGCCATTAAGGGGTTGCCCCTGTAAAACAAAGAGCTCACATGCTTGGAAACGAGAATTACCGAAGATTAAACATGACAGCGCGTCGACAGCGGGGTAATTGGTATCTTGGAGTGCAGTTTTGTTATTCACGAAGTGAAACACTATTAATGCTTTATTACTTGAGGGTTCTATACTATAACGGTAAAAAAAAACAAAAAACAAATAAAAACATTAGAGATTAGTATGCAAGCGCTCTTGAAAAGAAATGTCAACTATTTTGATGAACTTTCGAGAACATCAAAATTATATGGATGTGGAGTAAAATTTACTCTTCTGTTGTAATAGTTAAGTTATAATTCAACTCTATACAGGCATTTTAAAAAGATTATCGAAAACTTAAAAGGAATATTGATCAGGATAATAATTCAAAGTATAAGACAGTAGTAATTTTGAATTAAAAACTAAATACTATATTCCTAACCTGCAAATCGTCACTGAAATGTATAGACTATGTCATCACATATTTCATCTTCTGGCATAATTTCTATTCACCCGCTTTCTCCAACAAACATTTTAAAAGCGCTGTACTCTATATTATAATTCTTTACGGGTTTAAATTGTTGCAAGACTTTATACGGTTCTCACTGGATATTCCAGATGTACAAACATGTCGTATGTTTTGAATTGATTTATAAATTATGAAAACAGTGAAATCTTTAACATCAAAGATCTGCCATAACATTTTTTTAATTGTTTGTTGATTAAGCTTTGTGAGCATAGCCGTTCCTTGACATGCAAGAGCAAGTCTAWTRATGGGGACTGATGCGTCCTCGTTTAATTCTACAACATCCTCACTTAGTTGCTCTGAAACTTCTTCAATCTATATTGTGGACAATCTATATTGGTCTTACTCTGTCCAAACACGTAGCGGACAATTAACTAGTGATATATACTAGGAATATAAAGCTATTTCTGAGAAAACGTTGAATATGAAAGATAGCGAGTTCGAAGAGACTTCCATTGAAGGTCATTCATTCAATCGACGTTTTAAAGAGTTTGTATGGGCTTTTTTGCTTGCTAAACGCCCCAATCTCGCGACTATGTAGATTGTAGGAACCAGAATCTAGATTTATTGGAATACCTGCTCTAATGAGATAATTATGTAATTCCTACTGAGCAGTCAATAGCACAACGACGAGTCTCTTCTAGACGGCATCCTGCGGCGGAAAACCAGCTAATTAGAATCGATGATGTGAAAACATGCGACAAAGAGTACTATTTCGGCGCACTTTAGCAAGCTACCCACGCAAATATAGTTATAAACAACTTTAGCTTGAGACTAATTCAAAAATTATGAGATGAGATTTGTCTTTCATGGTGATCGTCCCTCAAAGTAGCTGGAAGTCTCTTTTTCGCAGAATCTTCTGTTTTCTTTTCATTCGCTTAAAAGTGAGACTTTTGTTATATGACACAGCTTTTCATGCGCCCCTCATTTACCTTTGTGTTCCTATCCTCCATATAATTTTAAATCTTTGTGTAAGTAATTGTATATTTTTTTTTCCCTTATGTTTTATTGCTTTTCTCCTTACCTGTAATTACCAATGTATCACTAAATCATGAAAATAGAAATCTTAGTAGTTAATTTAGCCTTCTGGCTCTATTTCTTTACARTTTATTTGGATATTTTTTATACTTATTTATCTTTTTTTTGTTACAAGCACCTTATTCTGTCAAGTTCATTAAAAGCAAAAAAAAGCGATTAAACAGTTTCAGTTTGCATGAAGTTTGAAAGCGTTTCATAGTTCTTAACGTTATTACCAATTCAAACAAATTCTTCACCTTGATATAGTACATGGAATGCTAGTCAACATGATGAATTAATAGTAATGTTAATTCATACAACTCCAATGAATAAAACAAAAAACTACAATTACTTCATCTTTCACGTGGAAAACTCGAGCCTTGTGGTGATCATACAGTACACATTTGCACGGTTTGGTTTGTTGTATATAATTACACTTTATTTCATAATAATAACAACAGCAGAATAGCAGCATAAGAAATGGATCATAAGGTTTACTAGATTAATCGGCTTTTCAACATAGCAAATCATAATATCCCCCTGATAGATCTTCAACTAGTGCCTGTGCTTCGCGTCTTGGAACCGATACGCACGACCCCYGAGTGCGCCATCTTTTGTCTAAATGTCCTATCGTTAGGCAAGACTAAGATTTTGAATATGATAGATGAGAATTCATTCCTCGTGACTGATGTAGAGTATCCCCCAAACGCGTCCTCTTACTGCACAATATTCCGTCTTTTGTCGTACCGTCAGGCAAGAGAGGATCTCCATCAGACAACGAAATTAGAATCGATAACCTTTGTCATCAGGGGTAACTTCCAGAAGAGTTCCCACGTTAATAACTTACATGTATGACTATCAGGGGAGGGGTGGGGCTCAAATATATGAAGTATAGTGGGATTCATGGGACGGGTCAGCTGCAATGGTTGCTTTGATTCTAGTCTGTGCTTCGTTGATTAACAATCAATAGTCCCAATTACGTGGCGAGTAGCTTGATTAAAATGAACCGAACCCTGTCACAAGTCTTTGTTCTCGCTATTATAAAATAGAGTATTCAGTCTGTATCATAGTCAGTCAACACCGACTGCCGTCAAGAGAAGAAACGAAGCCAAAAGGATTTCTTCAACTATCAACGACTTGTAAGTACTTCTTCCCTCATTTATCTGAGAAATATTTATTTTGTAGTTACACCCAATCGTTMAAAACGGTTGTTTTTACTTCACTGTTTTAATCGGCGTACATGCAAAACGGTTGTTTTTACTCCAATGTTTCTTATCGGCTACGAATCAACTTAGAATATGACAATGTTTTGTGGTTAAAATGTGATAGTTTAATATTGCTATAGTTTTACTTTCATTATTTAAGTAAGTGCTGATATTAACTTGCGATATATCAAAACTATACATGGCATAGATAGGCACATGACATGAGAGTCTTCGTGATAGGGTGTGTCTTGGTGAACTCCTAGATTTGCCCACCGAGCTGGAAGTGTGCTGAAAATCATCATATCATTGTTAAATTGTCTCAGGATATCTTATTTTTTAGTGAATTCTTCACAGTAATGATTGCTTGACACATTCTGAAGTATTATTCTTGACATTTTGCAGTTGTTTACATCTTGGACATCAACGATGAAGATTGCTTTAGCATTGCTACTCCTCGTCGTGCTYCCTGCTTTCATTGAGGTAAGTATTCACTGCGCATGCGTTTCATTCACGTATACAGCAATATGCAGAAATTGTGATCTTTTTTTGCTCATACTCCAACTATATATATAAGATATTTCAGTAATTATGGTATATAATCGCCAATATTTTTTTTCAGAAAGTACTAGTGCTAGGCAACTTTTTACTGAAAGAAAAATTTTGGCGATGATATCCCATAGTTTCTGATATATTTTTCTTGTAGTCAAAATGATCGTAACTTCTGCATATTCCTGTATAATCTAGTTTAATATTATTTCTTGTTTTCAAAGGGATCTGCATCCCCCATATTCTGGGGAGGTCGTCGCAAGGGACGTCGACCTCGTCCTCGTCCTCAACCTGAGAAATATAGTAAGACCGATAGTCTAGTCTGATTGATCTATAAGAGCTAGTATCTAAACTTTGTCTATTAAATTAAGGTCATTGTTATGCCACTGGAGATCCACACTACAGGACATTTGACAATAAACGCTACGATTTCATGGGAGTGTGTCGTTATGTCATTGCGACTGACTATTGCCTTCAGCCATGTGAGAAGCCAAAGACSAATTTTGGTTCGTTCAAAGTCGTCGCTGAAAATGTAAAGTGTGGCCSYASAGTCAGCTGTATTAGAAGTGTTGAGGTTACTATCAAAGGTAATTATCATCATTATCATGCATGTATCATCAACACAGCGAGAATCACCCATAGTAAACTCTTTGTAGCATGCAGTATTGAATTAAGTATTTGAGTTTTTTTAACGCTATACAGACTCTTGATTAATTTGATTACTTTGAAGGCGAGACAATTCAACTCAATCGAAACAAATATCCAGCCCAAAAAACTACTAAGACATACACAGTATCTAGAGCTGGTGSTTTTGTAATTGTACAGTCCAATCCTCCCGGATTAATGGTAAAATGGAACAGGMGAATGTCTTTGCACGTTTCTTTGACMGAAAAATTCAGAGGAAAAGTAAGATCATGATTCTTATTGTTCTTGATTAGTAATAGCACTAGATCTCGATCAATCATACGTTTTTTAAATAACAGGTTTGTGGTCTTTGCGGTAACTTTGATGGCAATCCTAAGAACGATTTCTACGTCCAGGGAGGGAAAGTGGCCCTGCAGTCCGTCAGGGACTTTGCTCAATTTTGGCAAGCTGGAGGAGGACGGTGCAAACCTGGTCCTGAAATACCAAAACATCCTTGCGAGAAAAATCCCAAACGACATCGATTGGCCGAAAAAGACTGCGCCTTGATCAAGTCGAATCACTTTAAGAGTTGTAGAGATGGAAAGGTRAACACCCAAGCGTTGTTCGATAACTGTGTATATGATGTTTGCCAAGAAGAAGGATCGGATATACAAGCTAGTTGTGAAGCTATCAAAGAAGCAGCAGAAGAATGCAAAGAACAGACAGGAAAAACTGTATCATTGGGACATCTTAGCAAGAAGTGTCGTAAGTAGAGGCACCATGCATCATATGGCAATTCATTCGCTCAGAATACAATCATGTAATATTTATTAATCGCATATTGTTGTGTTTATAGTGGCATGCYCCAGACAAGCAAGGCTCTTCAACTCTTGTCAAACAAAGTGCTGTGTTTTCCCGTTCACATGGAAGGGCAAGACGTTCCAAGGATGCGCCGAAACTGATTTTGGTTCTTTTTGCTCAACCGAGAAAAAAGCAACTATAAATTCACTCGGTTTTTGCATCTAATGATCATAATGGAATTAGTTAAGAACACTGCAAATAGAACTTCGTTTTCAGACTTTAATTAGTACTGTATAGGACGCATTAATTACAATATCTCCCAATCATACGCTGAAACTCATCTGTTACCCATACCTAAACAAACTAAATGGAAGTCGTACTTTAAAGACGTATGTTTGGGATTATAAAGCACTATTTGATTATTTTCTATGGAAAACTAATTCTCAAGTTTATAGATAACAATTGTAAAGTTAGCAACGAGAAATGCAAAGGAAACTTTGTCTACCTTAAAACATCGGTTAAGCAAACAGGTGTGTGTGTGTGGAGGGGGGGATGTATGTATGTATGTTAATCTCTTAGAAATTGTGTCCTTCCACCACTTAGTGACATGCACCCCTGCCTGACTGGTTTACCCAAACACAGATATAAAGAGAAACAAATAGCCTTTGATAAAAAACGAAATATGAATAAACGCTCTGGAACACTGGTAACATTGCGTATCTATTCTAGTAYTCAYATATATTTGCTATACGGGGCACAGGTAACCCAGGTCAATAACTTAGTATAAATTACGTCGTTATTATTTTGCCTAAATAATATTATTCTAAGATAAATAAAACGTCACGCTTACCTTCCTGGTTGAAAATCTTTCGTTTTTAAGAGGTTTTACGCCATTTTTGATATGCCATTGTTATTAATACAAGGTCGGAGACTGCACGCAAAGAGTTTCCAACAGTAACTCTACTTGCACTCGATTTTTTTGTCAAAATCCATACTTTTGTCCATATTTAACTGCTCCACAATAAACATGAATGTCCAATGATTCTTTTAAAGCTCTTCGTCAATGAATTGCTTTTCGGGAAGTTATTTTTATCGGCCGTTGAATTCTAATATTCGGACTAAAGTAATGCTGACTATAACTAATTTGAGAACTAATTTGGTCCGGAGGCACAGGCGTCCCAAAAGAAGATTGGATTGGCTGATWTCTAACAAAAGGCGACTGAACACTTTAAATCTACGGGGGACATTGCTCAACAATTGTGAGACGAGGCGGGGGAGGGTACAATCGAAAGCAACCAATAGGACTTCAGCCGCTCTCGCAGGGAAAACTTGCTCTACTTCATTTAAAGCCTTAATAAAACACTACATGCGTAAAAAGGTCGTTATACTATTTTTAAACAGTTTTATGCTAATTCTTTTGTTTTCTCTTGCTCAAATAGAGCTCCATTAAATTTTACATAATGCAGCAATCAGTGCTTCACAGTGTTACTGTTGAAAAATAGACATTTTGTGTTGGACAAAAGGTTTTATTTGAAATACTAAATTGTTTTGATAATACTCTGTATTTATTTACAACTCCAAGTGAAGATGATTTTTTGAATATGAGTAATTTTTTAGACGTCTTAAGGAAACTATTTTTTCTTTCTAGTGATTTGTCCTTTAGCCAGAGGAATTTCTTCTCCTGTATATGCTCGAAGACGATACTCAAGCGATCTTCTTTCTTCTAGTTCTTTCTGAAACTTTTGAGCCTGAAAACAACAAACAGAATTGAGTCGATTGAAAAACAATCCCTCTATTGTCATGACATGCTGGTGAGTTTGGTGTTAATCGAATGAAGATATACCCAAAGAAATGTATGGATCCTAGACAGAGGTGGTATTACAGGAATTTGGATGTCATAATCTGGAATAGTTACTAAAGGGAGACTTTTTTTTGCATTGAGTATAATACCTGTTCAAGGTTTCGTCTGGCCGATTCAAGCTCTTCAGATATGTCTTCGTAGGTCTTTCGTCGATGTACTTGAATCTTTTCCATGTGATTTCTGATGCGATCTTCAAGATCACGTTCACGGAGAGCTCTGAAATTATAAAATAATAATGATCTATCAAAGAATGACAATGGCTGTGATGATTGGCAGATGATCAGACGATGATGATTGACAGGTGTTATGATGATGACTGACAGGTGTTTTTATAATTGGCAGTTGTTCAGATGATGATGACTGACAGGTGTTTTTATGATGGTGATGATTGGCATGCAGGTGTTTAGATGATGATGATTGACAGGTGTTGTTATGATTGACAGGTGTTATGATGATGATTGACAGGTGTCATAATTGGTGTCTACCTCTTGACAGCATTTTTGTCTTTGTCTTCAAGGATTTCTTTCAGTTTGACAACATACTGGGTCTGTGTGTAAAACATTAAATATCAGTCTTTTCAACTAAATATTATACAAGCAATAKTTGATGGTTCCCTGCCTCATCTTGCAAGGTAGCTGTGCCTTTACACCTTTATGACCATTGAACATGCAGTGATAGAACTTTCAATAATCATTTCATGCTCAACAGTCATTTCGCTCCAATGCAAAGGCAGAGCTCCTTTTAAAGATGCRAAGGGAACTATGAAGGAGACTTAATTGTGAAATTGTCTGAATTTTGTGCGCTTATCATTTTATTGTTTCTTACACACAATGTCAGTACTGAGAGTAATATAATTGTACTGTTTTATAATGATACAAAGGACTTACATTTGGTTTTTCTTCTTTTATATTCTTTTCAGTTCCATATGGTGCATTGACATCAACTAATCACAAAATAACCATAAAAACAATGTTAATTTAACACTCTAAAGACCATAACTACAGCTATCTGATGTACAGAAGAATTACTTTTACTTTTTTAGGAATGACAAATTCCTGAATGACTGTTATTCTGAAGGGTTACTTCATCATCTCTTGAGAACAATTCTATATATCTTTATCAATGACAGTTTAAATACTTCTATTAGTGATGTTCACACACCTTTAAGTGGTTTCTTGTACTTTGCTAGGTGTTGTTTTTGTTGTCGTAGTTTTCTTGTTTTATCTCTCCAGTCATTCAGTGCTTGTTTATCTCTATAGCAACAATCAAACCACATGATCATAATCAGTCGCAATCATATATAGAATAAAATAACACGTCTTGACAAAGATTTCGAGAAAACTGTTCCTATGAGCATGAGAATGCTGATATAGTTATTAAGAAACAAAGCCATTACATCAAGTTTAATTAAATATACACTCGTATAGTTCAATGTGGCATCTTGAAAAAGGTAGCTGCATGTCTTTGTCACAAGAAAATCATTGAGTGTGCAATGATAGAAACCTTCTTTCACGCCTGCAGATAGTTAAGCACAAGTTTCTATCATTGTACACTCATCAGTCATGTATCTTTGACTCAAAGGCAGGCTACCTTTCAAGATGGTGCAGGGAAGAGGGAAGTTGACTATTAAAAATACTGAATTCTAAGCTTACTTTAGTTTTTGTAAGATACTGTCTTCCTTTTCATTAAGCATYGCAGTAATGGCCAATTGCTGCTGCTCTACTGCTTTCGCTTCGTAGTTTGGAAACCTGGGGGGTGCACTTCCTCCATACTTGAATCTACACACAAAATAATTTCCCTAAGCACTGCCATCCTGGACCAGTTTATTATATTGAATGCATTTAGTCTCTTAATGTACATAATGTACAAAATCAACTAGTCTGGAGTATAATTAAGTTTGTTATTTCAATTGTTTCTTTCCTTGAGGTACTTTCCTGCCTAATTACTTTCCTCTCATCAGAAGACAAACAAAATTATGTGCAGAGTGTTGTAATTGAGTGAACATAGTATGCAATAAAGGAACAGCTTACCTTTCCATAGCTGCATCACTCTGCTTCTTCAATGTTGTCCTTGAAAATCTTTTTTGGTAGCCATCAGAACCAAACTGTTCAAGTGAATTTCTCCTGACATGCTCTGCTGAGCGTTGTTTTATTCTCTTTCTGTCATAATCCATGCGTATTTGATCAGGTCTTGATGGTGGTCGGTGAAATGAAACAGGAGTAAGAACTGGTCGGATTTTAGTATCAACTGAAGGATCGCTGTTACTTCTGGATCTTCTATGGTTGGTTGGTGGAGCGTACCATCTACCTTATTACAATAAAGTATAACTTACAATGTTGTTCTGGTTGCTTTGCAGTTCATAGTTAATTTACTAATACAAAGAACATTATCTAATGGTAGGAAAAAAGTATATTTTGAGCCAAGCTAGAACTACAGTGTTACTTTGGGAAAATATTATATCTGCTCATTTATCATGGAGCAGCCTCCTCCACTCACAGACAGACAGACAGGTATGGACACTCAATCAATTAATATAAACAATAATTTATTAAATGCTAGAGGTGATTTACATTTTKTCAAAAYATTTCATTTTGTTCACGAAATGTAATTGCATTTTCCCATACATTTGATGTTAGGATTACAGTATATTTATAAAATATCTACTTACAGCTATAAAACATGAGCTACAAAACATACGTCTATGAAAAATAAGTTAGATTGATTCTATGTACACCTTTTATCAYACTGAATTATTACACAATTATTGACCCTTGGCTACTTCTTATCAAGCCAACATTTTGATTTAAAAATACTAWAATATTGTTCTATGACTATTTCGTCCTTGTTTATTATTTGTATAGCATTTTGGTGATAAGTTCTTGGTTAGACTACTACTTTTGCTCTTCTCCATCAACAACTTTCCTGACTTTAGCTCTAGTAATAGGACTCATTCTTCCCTCTGTTGATAACTTGAATTTACAAAGTATACTTTGATGAGGGACTTTTCTAAGATAGGGGCTTGTTCTACTCATCATTGGTCTCCAGTAACCTTCATATGACCCTGTATAATAGTGTACAGTTAACAAACCAAGATTATCCTCCATTGTTGTGACTTTACCCAGACATGGCTGACCCTTGATGTATAGTTTGGATGGTACTTTGATAGCAACAAAGTCTCCTTCTTTTAAACAAAGACCAACAGGATTATTTGGCATTTTTGTCATGTCTCTGATGTCATCCACTAAACTATCGGGTTGTTTTTGTGAAGCACCAATGATTTTTGGTTGTGATTCAATATCCCTAACTGTCATCTGGTTGGTTTGAAATGTTACTTGTATGATTTCTTCCTTATGCTTTGAAATTTGAGTGTTTTCATCATTCAATGAAGTATTCTTTTCATGGGTTTTGCTGGCTTGAATAACACTTTTTATAGGACTGCGGCTTCTTGATTTTCTTTTCTTCTTAGGCTTCTCAGTTTTCTCTTCCTTCCGTTCAACTTGTTGTAACTCAGAACTACCTTTTAAAGCTGCATCGCTGTATTTCTTAACCTTTGTGTACGTCGTTGCTCTCTTATGAGGTACTTCTTCTGAGGAAAGTAAAGCCTTCTTTGGAGGAGAATGACTTCTTCTAGATTCATCATGTCTTAGTTTCTGAGGAGACTTGATTCTTATTTCAGGCTCACTGATCTGTACATTAACTTTTGGCTTGGGTTCAAATTGTGTAGACTTCTGGCCTCTTAGGATCTCATTTGATTCATCAACTGTCCTATTCCTTGGTCGTTCTGCAGCGGCTTTGAATATTGGAGGTAAACGAACCTTCTCTACTCTAACTTCATCTTCCCATGCTGGGACTTTTTCCTCTTTAGGTAGTTGGGCAGCAACTAAGAAAGCAACAAGGAGAGACATCTCAGTTGAAAAWCTGTTTTGCTTATTTTTTGGTGGAAAACTTGAAAGTAGAAAGGAAATTCAATTTGCCAGCAAGTGAAATATAAAAACTACTCGGCATTGCTCTATTAGTTACTGCCCAAACCATTGCTGATTCTCCCTTGCTGCCAGACATGATATTTGGTTAGTGAGCTAATAGTTTAACTGTCTGTGAATAGGGATATTTATAGATTTATAGATGTTTTTGGACTTACTTTCATAGTTATTATTGGTAAGATCTTCTTCACTAGAGGACTGTGATGCTGTTGTTAAACCTGTAAAAATTGACATATGAATATTCTAGCTTTGTCTTTAAATGTAATGAACCTTGATAAAATAAGTTCAAAGGATAATTAACTAGCATGCAGTGTGCTTATAATGTGTTGTAGTAGCTTCTATGTGTTATAGTTTCAGAATAAAATTCCAGTTTGTACCTAAAGCTGCTTGGTTCTCATCTGTCTGCATTTTAGAAGCATACTTTTCCCTTAGAAACTTTAATACTTCCTACAAAACAAAATTCTCRTCATTAAACAACATGCAAGTAATTTAGAGTACTTAATGTAATTTGAATCTAGTGKAGTYATTGCTTTCATTGACTWYTTKTTATTTACCTGTGTYCCCTTCTCAATAAYGCTTGATGGTGGCATCTCCAGGGGGTTGGATGCAATATTYAAACCGCTTAATTTGGCAAAACCTGGAAATAAACACCCAATTTACAACATTATTAACTGATAATGTATCTCATTTACTGGTTTTCAGCAGTGAATTTGTTTATAAGTAGATTTCAAGGAATACCAARAGAGATGTTTAGTAACAAAATTTCTAGTAAATTGATTTTAAATTGATCCTATTTAAGTGTAATATCATGTCTGTTTACCTAATTCTAAAGGCARTTCTTTGATGTCATTTCCTTCTAACAATAAGTTCCTCAGTGCCCTACAACAAAGAACATAGAAATTGAACATACCAACAAACAAGGTGATTGACAAGGTGRTAATGGATTMAAWAYCTTGTACAAAACGAAAACAAACACAACATTGCATTTCAAAAACACAATGTTCAACTTACTTGTGGGATCCTATTGCTGCAGGAATTTCAGTAATGCGATTGTTTCTTAGGTCTAACCATTTTAAACTTGGTAGTTTTTCAAATAAATAGTGTGGTATTTCAGTAATATAATTCCCCTCTAGATACAAAAACTGAAAAAAAGAGAATCTCAATTAGATTTCTTCATTGATTAAAGAAAACTTTGAATGGACAATGGACGGGAGATAATAAAATAGATTACGTTCCAAGATGACGGCAAGCTGAATGGAAAGAATGTCGAATTTATCAGTCGTTTCTTTCGCATAAAAATATGCTGATTTTTACCTCAAGATGCTCCAAATCAAGAACTTCAGACGGTATTTCTGTTAGTTTTTTTCTACTTAAGTCAATGGTTTTACTTCCTAGTGCTGTTGTAGTGTTTATCAGTTCTTGTACACCGTTAYTTAGACCGCGTCCTCCTTCTCCGACCGCCATTTTGTTATGAATGGTTCCCTTTGTGACGCGCCACAATTATAACTGTCGTCTTGACAACATGTAAACAAATGACTGGCCTTTATCTAATCGATGTCTAATCGTGAATGTCTCGGAAACTCTCGAGTTCGTCTCGTAATTAAAAAAAAATGTGAATCATTTTTCAGCATGAAAAAATTCTATAAAGCATATCTTGACTATGAAAAATATTCAAAAAATAATTAAGTTGCAAAGAGCTGAATACCTATCATATATAGGTAGTTTGAATTAAAAAAAGAACTGTTGAATCTTTTTTATTCTAATTTCTATAATTGTAAGACATGTAGTAAATGAATCTTTTGAAAAGACATTTATGAATGTCATTTAAGAATTTTTTATTTTGAAATCTAGAAAACTTGATTAATAATAAGTTCATTCCACAGGGAACCCGGTGATAAAGTACCCAAGATGCCGTGCGTCTTTCTTCTAGTCGGACGCCATCTTGGACTAGAGTGGTGTTATAGTAGCTAGACGAAATATATATTTTATTACTTTCTGGGACTGAAAATGCCGGTTAATGTCCATCCAGCAATAAGGGTAAGGTCTTAAGTWAAAATTACATATCGCAATAGAATGATCCTTCCCGTATTTCCTGAAAATTCAAAAGATTTTTATGGAAAATCTGAACAAAAWYWYAYAC